CTTACTTACTTACTTACTTACCGTGCAGAGTGCTTTCAATGAATGGCGACATATAGCGTACATCTAAATACACGCCATATTTATCAGCAACGCAACCGTCTCCCCATGAAACGATCCCGGTTAAAGTAAAACTTCCATCGTCCTTTGGACAAGCCAGTGGCCCTCCACTGTCACCCCTGCACGAGTCTTTACCACCAGCTTCAACACCTGCGCAAAAATAACGTTCGTGTATGATCCCATCATAAGAGATGTTGCTGTTACAGACTTCTTTAGATACGAGGTTCACCTCTACTTCTCGAAGAACATCTGAATACTCAGCTGCATTCTCGTCCTGCTTTCCCCATCCGGTGGCAAAACAGGATTTACCAGTTGGTAAACCAGTGTCCATGTCTGGAAGACAAATGGCATGTACCAGCTTATGGAAAACCGCCGGTCGCTTGAGTTTGACGATCGCGATATCGTAATCGCCAGGATGTTTTTCGTCGCCTATAATGAATCCGGGATGGACTACTATGTTTTCAATATCAATCATTTCCTCGTATCCTTCGAATTTAGTTTCGTTGTGTTCACCAACCCTGACCTGCCATTGATCTGGTTTAGTGTACACATAGAAACAGTGAGCTGAAGTCACAACCCATAAAGGATCGATTAGAGAGCCTCCACAGTAGTGAGAAGTACCATTGACCAGAAAATCGACCTGCCACGGCCAGGAGTTGGGGCGAGCTTCGCGTTCAACAACGATACGAGACATTAAGGAAGGAAATGGCCGAATACCGCATTGTGGGTAACCTGGAACGAGAATTAAATAGTTTGGATGGATATGTGTATCACGTCAGAGAACTGTATTTAAATTTAATCCCACTATGATTCATAATACTTGGCTGTGAAGGATATGAAAAGCTATCGAGTAGCTGGTGATGTCTTGTTGAGGTAAGTGAAGTGTTTTAAGTATGTTCATTGGTAAGACGGGTAGAGTTATCAAATACGCATCTCACAGTTTTACAAAAATACTCTTTAAGCTTTTTTCTGATGTGCACTAGGTGTTGTTATAAATGTAAACACTCGATTGAAGAAACGCCTAAAAGGTATGATCCATGAACGATGAGACCCAAATTTTTGCACAGTTACATAATCAGTGATTTACTTTTTCCATTATTTATGGAAAATATTTGTTTAGGACAATTCTTTTCTGTCAGGAAAGCTGGGTGGCTTTTATCATTTACCACGTGCAGCTAATAGTCCATTTGCTTGAACCGGAATGAGACTTAGGGTGATACAAACCTTGCTGCTTTTCAAATGCAAATTACTTTGTTATCATGCCAACTAGATACTGGTCTCTATCACAACAAGGTCACCTTCAGCCTCACTCCAAATCAAAGGCTTGGCAACTAAGTACACAACTGTAAAATGGCCTATTGCAGTTGCCATGGACATGTGTACCCAGAAAGCCATTGGGTCTCATCGTTCATTGATAACGCTTTTTAGCCGTCGTTTTTACAATCGAGAGTATATTTTATTACCATCTTATTTAGTGCATACCATATATGGTGCTTTCAATAAAGGGGAGAAATCTGCGGACATCAGCGTAAACCCCATATTTTTGCGGTCTCGCACATCCGACACCCCAAGTCACCACACCAGCCAGCACCCACTTTCCTGCGCCATCTTGACATACTAGGGGTCCTCCACTATCTCCTTGACAAGCGTCTTTTCCACCTTCAGGATATCCTGCGCACATGTAACGCTCCTTAATGTTACCGTTATAAGAGTCCTCTTTGTTGCATTCCTCAAAAGAAACTAACGGCACTTCGTTCTCTCGAAGAATATCGGAAAAATTTCCATTTTCTTGGGTGTGACCCCAACCTGTCAAGAAGCACATTCGGCCAACCTCGTCGCTGATAGTCGAGTCTTCTTTGGGCAGACACACCGGACCGACTCGACTGTAGAACGTGACTGGTCTCTTCAGACGGTAAAGAGCAAAGTCGTAGTCTCCAGCGCTGACCATCGTCGGGCGGTTGTGTTTAAATCCCGGATGTATGTAGACCCTGTCTCCTTCGATAACCTCTTCGTAGCCCTCGAGGACCTTGCTGTTGTGCTCTCCAACGCGTATTTCTTTTGGTGCCGATGAGTAAATTTCATCCACACAGTGAGCGGCTGTAATGATCCACTGAGGGTGAATGATGGAGCCCCCGCACCAGTGCTTAGTCCCATTCTCTAGAAATTCAACTTGCCACGGCCATGAGTTTGGCTTAGCGATGTCGCCGCCGACAACTCGCTTTTGGCGGGAATGATAAATTTCGTCTTGTCGGCGACTTCCACATTTTGGAAAATCTTTGCAAAGAAAAAGAAGTTTTTACTGATTTACAATAGAGAGGAAACTTATCAGAGATAAAGAAAATCGTGTTTTTGTATGACGACGT